CTGATGTATATTCAAAATTTTGTGATGTATATTCAAAATCTTGTGATGCATGTTCTGCCCTGTATAATCTTGTGATATATGTTAAATATCGTGAATGTGATGTTTATTCAAAATCTTGTGATGTATATTCGAAATCTTGTGGTGTATGTTGATGTATGTTCTATAATCTTGTGATGTGTTTTATACATGCGTGCAATAATTGCATTGCATTGTTGCTAATATGACGCAACAGTATCCTAAGAAAATAAGGACAGTTTTCATTGGTTAGAAATAATGAAAGTAGCCGGAGCGTTGATCGTCATCATTATGCACACAACTTCGCAAGTGTTAAATTGGCGAACTCAACTAATGCCCTGTTCACACGTAGAGTTTAATTCGCATTTAATTAATGCGAAGTAAATTAAATAAATGCGAGTTAAAATATGCGAATTAAATTGCGTTCTTATGACAGCTAAAGCGAAGTAAACTAATGCGAATTAAAATTTTATTTCTACAAAAAGGCTATATGTACAGTAAAACTATTATGACGTCATTTGTAAATCACATCAATCATGTATGTACAGTGATTAACATCCTTTTCCTTTTTAACCAAATAGGGGCCTATATCACAGATATCTAACAACCAGCATGTGTCCTGTGACTTAATTTTGGCCTTACGCATGCGTCAAAGTTTAATTCGAATTAGCTTCGCTTAGCGTTTACACGGAGTTAATGCGAAGTAATGTAATGCGCATTAAATTAATTCGAATCAAACTAATTCGCATTAAATTCTAAGTGTGATCGCTAAATGAAGCTAATTCGCAGTAACTTAAATTTAATTCGAATTAAACTGTCCATGTGAACAGGGCATTAAATTTCAAACTAGGTACATGTAATACTATATATAGTAAGACAGTATTCGCCAATTTCACACTTGCGAAGTTGTGTGCATCACGATCACTGCTCCAGCTACTTACATTATTTCTAACCAATGAAAATTGACCTTACTTTCTTAGAATACTGTTGCGTCAAATTATCCACAATGCAATTATTGCACGGATCACTAGATTATAGAACACACATGATGACATCACAAGATTTTGAATATACATCACAAGATTATCGAACATACATCACAATATTATGTAACATACATCACAAGATTTCAAATATACATCATATAATTTTGAATATATATCTCAAGATTATCAAATATAAATCACAAGATTTTGAATATACATAACAAGATATTGAACATACATCACAAGATTTCAAATATACATGTACATCACAAGATATTGGACATATATCACAAGACTTAGATAAATAAACATGTACATCACAAGATTTAGAACATACATCACAAGATTTAGAACATACATCACAAGATTATCGAATAAAGCAACGTATGTTTGTCCGCAAAACTTTAACCTTGCCCTTAACTTTTGATTTAGTGGAGCTATGACTTTTATATTTCACATGTGTATTTCTTGTGACAAGACATTTCTTTGAGTACCACCAAATTTGACCTATTGAACTTGACCCTGGAGTTTGAGCCACTTTTACACAAAAATTCCACACTTTTACTTTGGCCATATCTTTTGAATTGCAGAAACCACGACATTTATATTTCACATATGTATTCTTTGTGGAAAGACCTTTCATTGAATACCAACAACCTTGACCTTTTGACCTTGTCCTTTGAGATTTCCATACTTATAAAAAAAAAGTCAACCGTGGCCATAACTTTTGAACAGTAAGGGATAGGGCTTTTATACTTCACATATGTAATCATTGTGAGAACCTTTATTGGATACCAAGAATTTTGACCGCTGACCTTAGAGTTTGACCTTCTTTTAAAAAAACAAACCTTGACAATAACTTTTTAAGTGTTAGGGCTAGTGCTTTAATACTTCACATATTTAATCCTTGTGACAAGACCTTTCATTTGATAGCAAGACCTTTGAGCTTTGACCTTGGAGTTTGACATATTTTTTAAAATTTTTAACCTTGGCCATAACTTTAGCAGGATTGGGGATAGGGCCTCCAAACTTCACGTATATATATTTTTTGTGGCATTAGGGAAAATCGGCGCACTTATCCAACAGATACAGAAGCAACAATTGTTCATTTCAAAATGTTTTCATTAATTGTTATGATTATATGACACAAAAAGCACGCTTAAGTGGTTTATAAATCATCCATAGAACAATCTTTAAGGATGCTGGTTATTTGTTAATCAACATCTCAACAACTAGTACGATAGTCGGTAAGTGATCGACGTTGATATTTCAAATTTAATTTTAATATGTCGTGTTTTAAGTAAAATGAAATATATGGAGAAAGCGAACAGCATCCAAGCTCAAACGTCCAATAAACAATTCAAGATTGCAGCAGAGCAATTATGGACCTCCAAAAACACCAGAGGAGGGATCATGTGCCATAGAGGAGTGAGCATCCCCTGCCGAACGGTCACACCCGCCGTGTGCTCCTTGCATTGATCGGAAAATAACGTAAAAATCCGTCGACATTTAAGTGTATATAATGACCTAACAATAGTATGAAAAACGTCAGTCAGCATTTGACATAATGGTCATGCATTTGCTGACAACGTCATAGTATTGCATTGACCATAGAACTTATGAAATGATGACTTTAAACGAGACTGCTGATATTCTTGTTTGAGCAATTTGTCTGTCAAATAATTTATCTCGTTTTAAATGTTCTTTATACGTAGAACATGCTCCTGCGTATACGCCTGCTCTTGTGCATCGATTCAACTGAGAGATATAAACCCCGCGTAACGGTGATGATGGTGTATTGCTGTATAAGTAAGGGAAATTGCAGTTGAAAAATCGAAAGCTTTCGTGCTGTTGGTTTTGGTAAGATTTTGTGATTTCAATTTTCCAATACTTCCTTGGAAATTTTCTGTATATGTATCCGCATCTTTTTACACCTTTTCTTGAATTTATAGTTGCATAATACTCCTGCAGTTTCTCCTTCACTACTGCAAACATGATAAAGTGAGGAGTAACGAAAGTGGCTTGGTAAAACATTTACTTGAATTCGCTATGTATCTTTCTTTGAACGGATTTTTACGAAGTTTTTGGAATCCAGTATAGGAGATATGGTAATTCAAGTTCATTCAGATTGTTAGGAATATCGAAAATATTCAAAACTGACAAATGATTTTGAAGACTTTCCTCCTTAGAAAGGCAGCTATATGGGTATAAGGTGGATTATGTCATCAGAATTACCACAGATGGAAGCCTGCGACAACACCAGCTGAATGACCAATGATGCCTAGAAGAACTGGTGCCAGAAGACTAAAACAATGTCATTTGTGGCGTCGGTAGTCTAGTGGTTAAGGTGCCGGACTCCAAACCAAAAGGTTGTGAGTTCGAATCCTAACCACGGCAAGTCGACGTTGTGTCCTTGGAAAAGGCACTTTACACGAATTTCCTCACTCCACCCAAGTGTAAAAGGGGTACCTGGCTATGGACAGTGAAAGATATTATCAGAATATTAGTGTTCTAGCGCCTTAACGGCAGCTTGCACTGAGAAAGATTCTGGATTGTTATGGTCTGCTGGGGTAATATTGTATTGTAAAGCGCTTTGAGTAGCATTTATGCTAGAAAAGCGCTATATAAAAACAATCATTATTATTATTATAGAATAACCACTGACAAAAGACTGGAAAAAAATTACCGTCAATAGAAATACATTATAGAAACCTGCAACAAATCAGAAAAAAATTACCAATGATAAAAGATTGAAACGTACTGAGAATTTATTTACATGGAATATAAAGAAATCGTGGTGTTTTCCTTGGTGCTTAGATAAGAGACTTGGTTTTGCTTCGTATATAATTCCATACAAAATTTTGCACAAATTTTTAACCTTGTGACAAAATCTGCAATTCTCCCGCTAAACTTGGTATACATTATTAAGGTTACCAATTTACATGTAAATCTATGAGAAGTATTGTTGATTTCTAAGAAAAAGTTTGTTGTGTTATTTATCCTTAAGACTGAAACGTAACCAGCATTACCAATGAAAGAAGTCAATGGAAAGACCCTGGGGTCAATCCATGTGCAGAAATGCATTTGATTAGGTTTAGGTTAGCAAGTAAGTCATCTAAGAAGTATAAATAGCAATAAGTCTGCCAAAACATGCATCTAAGTCTTCTTTATTAAAAAATGTAAAATGAAATATATGTAACAATGTAATTAATATAGAATTATTTGTAGCAATAAATAAAGAATACAATTACAAAGAACACCTTTCTTTCTTATAAATATAAATTATCATTTATCACAGCATTGTTAACTAATATAACACACAACAGTAAATATCTATTAAACAAGTATAAAAATATTTAGTATCACAGCTTTTGTTTGAAATACTAGTCACTAAAAAATGGAATGAGCCATATTCATCTGTCAGAGCATCTCATTTTCGCCATCATCTTAAAGCCTATCTGTAATTTTAAAAATTACGTCTTAAAGCTAGCCTACCCACCCATCCCCATCCCCCAACTTTGTATACGAAATAACTTATTACAGTTAAGAATATTGATTGAAATGCCAAATCTCTTTTTTTCTGATGTTTCTTTAAATCGACCCAGGTAGTGTATTAATAAAACTTTTTGTAGATTAAAATGGAACCAATAAATCCTTATCAGTACAAATAACAGTGTGCTTGTGAGAATGCAATAAAAGGAAACAAAGTATTGGCTGATTCAAAAATGATTTACAGTATCCCTCCTCAGCTAAAATTATAGAAGGATACTTTCTTCCAAATTTGGCTGAAATACATGTATAAGCCAGCAGAACTAAATGTAAAAAGTGTAATATGTTCAGACGAGGTAAAAAAAAAAAAAGCAAACAAAGTCTAAATTTCAACTTAAATATAAAATGTTTCCTTCAAAGAAGTTTAAATAAAAATATAAAATTAAAAGATTATAACATTAAAAAGATTGAATCTCTTAAACATAACAAAGAAATATAACAAAGTCTCGTTCTCATGAAATACTAACAGAAATATAAAATGCATGATCCACATGAAAAAAATGAGATCAAAATAACATAAATTCACAGCTTAATCATATCCAACTGAATATCTGATATTTATCCTCATATCAAGTGTCCGTTTCTGTTGCACATACGAAGACAAAAGAACCATTTGCTTGATATTTTTAGAAAGAATACTGTTGAGCTTTTCAATTCTGCTATACGCCTTGACATCAATAGGATTACGTAATAACTGAAATAAAGGAAAGGCATGATAGCTAAATGCTTAATACATCCAACTTGTACAGTGGGGGCTTATAAATCTGGATTCTGAACTTCAAGAATTAGGACCCTTCACCTTCCAGATGTAAATTTATAGGGTACATAATTTACGAGTATATTTCAGTATACAAGGTACTAGTAATACAGATGATTCTGTAGTTTGAATGATTGGATTAGAAACACAAGCACAAAAAGTAATTGAGGCTTTAACTGTTTTTAAACAGTGAATTCACAATGGATTTTCCTGTTATTTCCCAATCATGACAAGGAGCACACAGCGGGTATGATCAGTCGGCAGGGTGTGCTCACTCCGCCATGGCACCCGATTCAAACTCCAATGTTTTGGAGGTCTGTGTTCGCTATTCTTCTTTTCTGCATTGTTTTATTGACTTTTGATCTTGAATACTGTTCGTTATCTCCATATGTTTCATTTTTTAAATTAAATGGTAAATTACACATTTAGTTTGAGGTTTATTTTGCTTGTTTTGTCAATGCAATATAGATATCTAGAAAATTGGTTAAATAGAAATAAGATTTTTCTAGTCATTACCTCAGACATTCTTGAGATGATAAAGTCTACCATATCAACCAAGGACAGTAACTGCTTCCCAATTCCAGACTTCCTTGATAAGCTACCCATTGATACAAGTATGTTCTCCGATAATTTCACAGTCTATTAAATAAAAAAATAATTAAATCAGAAACTAGATGTGAAAGTGTGACATGATCAAATGTCCTTGATAATAAGCAAGTTTTAAAAATGAGAAAGACTAAACCCATGAATTTCATAATTTTTAAAATGGCAAAAACACAACAATAAACAGCAACAAAAAATAAAGTATCATATTGCTGCTTTTGTTTATATTGACCAATGGCACTGTTATTTTAAACCTACATGACTGTGTATTATAGTAAATCACTTTTTCTGTGGAAGAACTTTATTTTTTGGTAAATACACAATTTGGTCTGGTTGCGAATATTTCATTCTTGATTTATTTGCAATATAAAGAATAATATGTCAAAATAACACAAAACTGGGAAAAACTTGTCTTCATTTTAAAAAACAAAAAAATATGTTGCCTTAATACGGTTTTTAATTTGCCTTTTTTATTTACATTTCTATTGAAGAAATGCATGTATATATTTATATTTTTCATGTTATGTAGCTAATATTTTACTTGTACATGTATGACTTTGATCTTTGTATTATGGAGAGGACTTACATAGGCAGTGCCTGTTGTCCGATCCTATTATGTTTATTCATTATAAAATATTGTTTAAATTAAATGGACCTGATACTTTACCAACTAATACTGTGCTTTCATCAAATTTCGTTGCCATCAATTTTTGTGGATTTTGTAATACAGACATTTTCGATGATACTTAATTTAGTGGACGAAAGCATTGTCTATACAAATGAATAACACATTTCTCAATTCAATGAACATTTAATTTCATGGATCTGCTCAACAACAAATTCCCCGAAAATTGGTGCTCAACGAATATTGATGAAACCACAGTACTCTACTAAACCTTAAACAACAGGAGTTTTTAAAACCATTTACATTTCCCATCTTAGCAGAGCAAGGTTACCTCAACAAGAATATTCAGGTACTGTAGCTGTAAAGATCGTAGGCACATCTGGTTCTGCAGTTGGTCACATCTAATATGGCTGCATTTGCTCCTGGGAGCTAATTTGTCCTAAAATGTACCACAAAAGGTGGTATAATTATACTTTCTCAGTAGCAAAAACTAATCCTTTCTTCATTATAAAATCCTTTTCTATATATGTAATAATTGTATCATTTAATTTTTTGTTTGTATAATTTCTCTTCGCTTTTTACCTTTTTGGCCTTTCGAAGTAAAGTATTCCTCCAACGTATTAATTTACTTGACTGGACTCGATATAAAAATGCCTTTGTAAGATACTTTGTTTGAAACTTCACAACTTTACTGTTGACTAGTTCTACTTCCTGAAAACCAAAACAAAACAAATTCTTAATATTTCCATTTCTAATTTTTTTCTCTGTGATAACTCTTTGGAAGTTAGCGGATTTCTTGATAATTCTACTGGAATGTAAATTAGGCAGGTTTTTATCTGGGCAAAAAAAAAATTTGGGTGAAATCCTTTCACAAGTTTGAAAAGGTAAAATTTACAAAATGTGAAAATGGCTCAATACATAGTATTTTTTTTATTGTACTATTAATGACTAATAAAAACATTTGCAGATTATCTAAATAAGACTGACCTGTAAAGGTACTTCTTTACAATTGTGAACACCATAGGGGTTGTCTCTAAGACAAAGCCAGCAGAAGTGATGGCCACATCTACAGGTCATTGCATTACATCCCCCGTTTTTGTCCACTTTCTCTCTACAGCGAGGACATGGCTTCACATTTACTCTGAAGGTCCTTACATAGTCATCCTCATTTAGCAGATCTGTAACACGTTTTGTCTAAATAACAGTATTCATTCCTTGATAGATTTGAAGACATATTCTCTTGCAAGTTAAATTGTAACTGAATTTTTGCTAATGTGTACCATGTCAACATATCTTAGAGATGACAGTTAGTTTCAAAAGCAGGTATTGCTCAACAGGTGTACGATACCTTTTATTTTACTTTAAAAATCTAAATATTTGAAAAAATACCTATAGCTAAATTTTTAGATTTTATTTTTGAGATATTCCCCATACCTTTCTGAATATTAAGAGCTTTGACATATTCCCCAATCTGCTTGCATGATGCTGGCCAATGAGGTGGTTCCTCACATTCCATGCAGAACTCTGTATGGCACAAACATGTCACACCCCTCATCTTCATATGGTCCTTTACAAATATCCCCCTTTCCTTAACTCTTTGATCTAGAATGAATTGCAGAAAATTTAACACAAAAGCTTTGAGAATCTATTCACAAAATGTCTACATGTATTACTCTTGAAAGAATTTGCTAGAATTACATGTATGTGAAAGATATACCTCTTAAAGATTAACTAAATTTTAAAAGATGAAAGTCACAATTAACAAATGTAATATGACATGGAACATAATTATAGTTGAACCCTAAACAATATACAGTAAATCATGTTTATAGCAAACAAGCATATAAGGAATGGATGCTACAGTGATTTCTCTTCGTAATGGCCTTAGAATATATATTGTTAACTATACAGATATAATGAATAACATATATAAGGAAGCAAAATCACTCATCTTTGAACTTCATTATAAGCCAGTCTTAAGCTGTATGTAATCCGTAAGGATGAGCAGTCATGTCAGTGCCCTACCTTTCTCACTAAGTGATACAATGAGATTGCATGTTTTGTTGGGACACCACTTCCACAGTCCAGTAGACATCACTGCCTGCTCCTGTTTTCGACTTGACCACTGACCAAATACATGGGAAGGCACCACAGACATAATCAACAAAGGATCCATCGTTGACTCACATTTGTACTCCTAAAATAATGTATGGATTGTTTATACACCAGTTTGTTTTGATTTTCAAATTCTCCTTACTTCATATTGTAACATGAAACTAAAAACAAGAATATATATGTAGGAGGTAAAAATAAGTTTTATCTGAGTTTTACTGGTTCCATATAGAAATTTTCTGGATAAGATAATGTTCCAGATATTACCATTATACAATATTTTTACTGAAAGGGGCTAAATGTTTTAACAGTAATCACAAGATTTCAGAATAACAACAGCTGGGCTAGACATACAACTTACCAGACACGAAAGACTCCGAGCGCCAGTTCTGATTTTCTCCAAGACATACTGGACAAGACAGGTTCTGCAGAAGTAGTGTTGACACGGTTGAATGAGAACACCTTCTGTGAGGTCTGATCCACCTGAGTCCACATCTGTATCACTAAGTGACACAAAACACACACCACACTCTAAGTCATTGTTAGCAATTCCAGTGAGAGAGACAGGGGGTGGTGGCCAAGTCTTTTTTACCTGTTTGATAAAAAAAAGTATGCTTCAATATTTGAAAGGTTTTTGCCAATAAAACATATTTACATTGAAGGCATAATTTATGTATTCTCAGAGTTTTAATGATATTCACTAAATAATAGTTATGATGAATTGTTGAAAAAAAGAAAAGTATAGAAAGACACTTGTACTAGTGCAACTTAATATAGCAAAGTATTTATTCAACAGATGATTTTTTTTCACCTGACTTTGTAATAACAATTCAGCTTACAATGGGCTCCCCATTTTCAGAAAAAGTAAAATCTTAAAATATCTAGTGCAAAAATTTTTTAATGCATCAGTCTTCTTAATTAATTAATTACTAAATGTAAAATGTCAGATTACCTCTGCATGTAGATGACAGTTCTGTAACAAGGCTTGTTTAATGGTGCTCACACTGTACGTCACCCTGGGCAACCAGTCAAACACAGAATCCAGTGCACAGGCTTCAGGCTGACCCAAATTTTGAAGTGACCTAAAAATAAGATTTCTCATTAATTCATATCTGAGCACTAAATCTTTTGCAACACTAGCTGTCAGACTTGGCTGTGCTGCCCTTTACTCTTTAAAAAATTTTTAAAATATTTACTAGGTTTTTTTTTAAATTACAGCAAATGTCAAATGGATTTAACATGCCTGCCATGATACATTATATGAGACATAAATCTGGAAAAGATGTCAGAAACTTGCCAAGCCACTCATTTTAAAGTATGAACTTTTTTTAATATACAAACCCAACGAAAGAGCCATAACTCATGGTGCAATACTTTTCCAAACTCTCAGCTTATTTATATAATAAAACAACTACAAATAATTACTTTTGACTATTAGTCAATACAACTTCGCATTCAAATTAAAACACTTGATAATAAAATACGCTGTTATAAACCTACATCTGAGAGTCCTTTGGCTGAATGCTGCCCTTGGCATACTGGAATATTTCTCCGAGTGAAAGAATAAGTAACTCCTCTTTTGAAGTCACGAAGTCAACAAGATCTCTATTTATCTTCTCTATGGAATATATTTCTTCACTTCCAACAATTCTTAACCTGAATGAAACAGATAATACATGATTGTGCATGCATTTGCACTATATAAGACATTTTAGCTTTCACATCTTTTACATATAACAGTAAAAAATAAAATTAACTCTTTGATTTCATTAATGCTTTGAATATCAAGCAGCAGTGTGTACATTATTTCCCTTGATATTTTCATTTTATATTGATTTACACTTGTAATTTGTAACATGTTTACCTGCACTCAGCGATCCCTTCCTCTGAGGCAGAAACAGCAGAACTTATTTTTTCTTGCAAAACAAGTGCTGGGTCCTCTCCATCAAAACTGACATTTTTATTTTCGTCTTCCATCAAACATGTCTCCAGTGGAATGACAAAAATAGTGGGATGTGAACTGGTTGAGTAAAAACTTGGAATTTTTCTCAAAAAGTCCTCCATTTCTGCCCTCTTGAAGAAGCACTCCACATTAGGAGGTAAAAAGATTTCTGGTAAAATGTCAGGAGAATCTTTTGAAGCCTCGGAAACTGAGCTGCTTTCCTCTCTTCCTTCTGTTTTATCCTCGTTCATGTACACAATATGGTCCTTCCCATCCCACTCCTCATCTGAAAATCTTTTTCTCCTTCTCTTCTGTTGGCATCCAGCTTTCTGTTTTCGCCATTCTTTCTTCAAACAATCAGAAATATCTACCTCTATAGTGTTTTTCTTTGGCACACAACAAGCATCCTCATCATAAGCACTGAATGTATAGACAACTTCATCAGAATAGTTGGTTTCTTCCAAACAGGTCCTGCATTCCATCGTGAATCCTTTCTGACTAGTACTGCTATATCCTATAAAATCATCATTTTCTTCAAGTCTTTCCTTCAGTTGCAGTTTCTTCCAAACAGAACGACATCCATTTACCATTCCTTTAACCTTAGGTAATGATTTTTTCCAATTCCCGTAACAATATGGTAACTTGTCTGTAGCTTCAATAAAATGAAACAAAATATTGTACACATTTAAACATGATTAGCCTGTTACCAAGTGTATTGCAAATGAATTGGTACCAAGAAGCCTAGGGACACATTGCTCACCTGAGCACTTTGACTAGAAAAAAGCTGAAACAAATTCAGTAAAGTTTAAAAATATGTGAGTGGTCTGGGGGAGGGGGGGGGAGGTCCTGATTTGAAAAAAACTCGAATCTACACTACCTCTTTTTATATTTTTATGACCAATTATGCATTTGTTCCTGTGAAATTTTTACAGATTTTCTCCCATATATTCCTATGTAAAACTTTGATCCCCTATTGTGGCGCCAACCTTCCCTCTGGAGCATGATTTGAAAACAAACTTGGATCTACACCACCTGAGGATGTTTCCATAACAAGACTCATGAAGAGGCCCACGGACCACATTGCTCACCTGAGGAAGCTTTGACCATGCTATTCTTAACCAAAATCCCCCCTTGTAATACCTACTGTGACCTCATAGTACCCCACAGGTCATAATTTGGACAATTATATATCTACACTACCCCAGGATGCTTCCACATAAGTTTCAGCTTTTCTGACCAAGTAGTTCTTGAGAAAAAGATTTTTCAAGTTATTTTCCTATATATTTCTATGTAAAACTTTGATTCCCCATTGTGGCCCCACCAAACCCTCGAGGGTCATCATTTGAACAATTTAACATATACATTACCAAAGAATGCTTCGACGCAAGTTTCAGCTTTTCTGGCCCAGTGGTTCTTGAGAAGAAGATTTTTAAAGATTTTTTCCTATATATTTCTATGTAAGATTTTAAGTTCCTATTTTGGCCCCATCCAAAATCTGGGGGTCATAATTTGAGCAATTTAAAATCTACACTACCCAAGGATGCTTCCACCTGAGTTCCAGCTTTTCTGGCCCGGTGGTTCTTAAGAAGAAAATTTTTAAAGTTTGCTTCTTTTATATTTCTACGTAAAACTTTGATTCCCTATTGTGGCCCCACCCAACCCCCGGGGGTCATGATTTGAACAATTCAGAATCTACACTACCCCAGACCCCAGGATGCTTCCACATAAGTTTCAGCTTTTCTGGCTCTGTGGTTCTTGAGAAGGAGATTTTTTAATGACCCCACCCTACTTTTGTCTTTTCTTGATTATCTCCCCTTGTGAAAGAACCTGGCCCTTCATTTTAACAATTTAAATTTCCCTTCATCCAAGGATGCTTTATACCAAGTTTAGTTAAAACTGGCCCAGTGGTTCATGAGAAGATGTCAAAAATGTGAAAAGTTTACAGACAGATGGACAAATTGTGATCAGAAAAGCTCACTTGAGCCTTCGGCTCAGGTGAGCTAAAAATATGACCAATCACAATTTTGCTGTCCTTGAAAAGATTTTTAAAAATTTTTCCAATGTTTCCTATGTTAAACTTTGATCCCCTATTGTGGCTCCACCCTACCCCCATGGGTCATGATTTGAATAAATTTGAATCTACACTACCTCAAAATGATTCTACATAAGTTTCATATTTTCGTGCATAATGGTTCTTCAGAAAAACACTTTTTAAAAGATTCAATTAATTTTTTTATGAAATCATAATTATTTCCTTTTTAAAGAAGGTGTGGCCCTTCATTTAAACAAACGTAAATCCCCTAGTACCGCCTACAATGAAATTAATCTAAGGACATGTTCAAGTAAAACTATCTGACATTTAGTGCACAAAACTAATAAATGTAAATTTAAGAGACATTACACAAAGCTCAAGGAAATTTTTAAAGAGTGATTTTAAATTAATAAAATTTTAACAAGCTGAATTTAATTCTTTTGGAATGTAGAAGTTTCTTTTATATAATTACATTCAATTCCTTGTGTAATTATTACCTCTTTCATAAAGTTCAGCTTTAGTAGAATTATATCTGGACTTCATTCCTTGTGGATGACAGATTTCATATCGAAATTCTGCCATATCCTTACTGTCGCTCCCATCTAGTAATCTGTGAAAACAAAGAAAATAATGTGAAAGTGTATAACAGCAAAATACTTTTTATAGCCAAAAGGATTAAAACTCTGTAATAAAATATGTAAACAAGCAGTTCCCCCAAGCAGTGTTAACAATGTTAACAAGCAGTGAGGAATTGATTCCCCCAAGGAGTGTTAACAATGTTAACAAGCAGTGAGGAATTGATTCCCCCAAGCAGTGTTAACAATGTTAACAAGCAGTGAGGAATTGATTCCCCCAAGCAGTGTTAACAATGTTAACAAGCAGTGAGGAATTGATTCCCCCAAGGAGTGTTAACAATGTTAACAAGCAGTGAGGAATTGATTCCCCCAAGGAGTGTTAACAATGTTAACAAGCAGTGAGGAATTGATTCCCCCAAGGAGTGTTAACAATGTTAACAAGCAGTGAGGAATTGATTCCCCCAAGGAGTGTTAACAATGTTAACAAGCAGTGAGGAATTGATTCCCCCAAGCAGTGTTAACAATGTTAACAAGCAGTGAGGAATTGATTCCCCCAAGCAGTGTTAACAATGTTAACAAGCAGTGAGGAATTGATTCCCCCAAGGAGTGTTAACAATGTTAACAAGCAGTGAGGAATTGATTCCCCCAAGCAGTGTTAACAATGTTAACAAGCAGTGAGGAATTGATTCCCCCAAGCAGTGTTAACAATGTTAACAAGCAGTGAGGAATTGATTCCCCCATGAAATGAATGAGACTCACTAACTTTACAGACACTTACTGATATCTATTATATTCTTGCTCATTGTTGACTTTTTCTGTCTTTTGCTGGAGTTCACATTTCCTCTGTATTCCCCTGGAATGCAAGTTATGTCTTTTCCTCTGTCGTGATTGAGTTTTTTGCTCAACGCGTCCCCCACCGAGGCATTTTCTTCTGAGGTCACAAAAGAACGACGCTGCTTTGTTAGGGGTGGATACCTGTAGTGGAGTTTTACTATCTATATATCTGACGCAATCGTTCCATGTCCTGAACTTTGATGCCGAACCATAGCCACTTTCTGTGAAAGTTTTTCGCTCGGATACCACAACTCTAAAGTCCTCCTCTGACAAGGACTCTATATTATCTTTCACCCATGAAGAAAGGGTCCATCTTTTCTGCTTGTCTAACGAGTACGTCACATGCTCACCCTTTCGGTGCATGAAATTTATATTTATATCATGGAATTCCGAGTCTATACCTTCTGGGAGGGGGAAAAAAGTTTCACAACCATCAAGAAGAATGGCATCTTTCCTGTTAAAGAACTTCTTCAGTTTTTCTGCTTCGAAATGACGCGGAGTATTTATGACTTTGTAGTCTATGTATCCGTCCTGCGTGAGTAGTGACATGAAGTGTTTTCTGATGGTATTCCCTGTTCTTTGTCCGCAGCGTTCTCGTTTCTGTACCATGGTTGAAATGGGAGATGACCAGTTGCAACTCTTATATGTATTTCAAATTTGAAAGTTCTGTAAAATATCAATTATATAATTAGTATCATATGATTATGTGTTTTGTACATGGGATATTATAAGTTGTTAAAAAAAGGGGGTGACACTGGTGCATGTTGTGTCTTTGTCTTTAATCGACACAGAAACAAACACCCCCTCCTACTAAATTAAAAGTTTTTTAAAACAGAAACCTGTCACAGTCAGCTTACATGTAAAGTTACAAATAACTACATATAGCTGTACAATGAATCTGATCATCATGATCATGCTTAAAAACTTGCGATCACATTAATTTTAATTAACGTTAGAATATTGCCTCTAATTTGACTAATTATGTAAATATTCTAAGAACTAAAACTTACCTTTATCGATAAAGAATACACTAACAGCAAATCGACAACATTCTATTTATGTATCTACAGCAATTTCTACATGTTGTGCAATGTTGTGTTTCTCTCCGTGGATTCTTTCCGAGAAATTCCGAAAGCAATGTTTACAATCAAATCGGAACTCCTCGGAAGTGTTGAACGGAACAACTGTAACTTCCCTAGTAGCATAATGCGCTTCATGTATGCCCATGACTAGTTCATGGGATATATTTGTAATGTTTACACATTATGTATATATTAAGTAAGCGCTAGCTATGACAGATTTTCATAAAAAAGTTAAAAACTTAAAATTAAAAAAAAAGGGGGGGGGTGCATGTCGGGTCTTTGTCGATATGATTGCTAATATGGCACTGATAATATTTATATTTCAAATCATAGACACTTCCCGTGTACATATATTGTAAACAATGGTAAATGATGAAAGAAAGTATATCTAGGTCTACGACTCTACCCCTCCATACTATATATCCCTTATATGGAACGCCATCACTGCCTTGTAGCATAAAACTCATGCATTCATTATGTCAATTTTTCATTACCGTACGTGATGTGAACATATCTTTACCTTATGTCAACTTTTTATGAGGTGATCTAAAAATATCTTAACATCATGCATCATGTCAATGGTGCATTACATGTAGTAAATACATTTTTCCGTTATGTCAGCACTATAAATAACTTAAAGTCAGATGTTCATTATGTGAAGTGAAGATATGTTTACATTGTGTTAAAACTTTATTACGTGAAATGAATGTTTCTTTACATCATTTCATTTCACTTTAAATATGTGAGGTCAAAACTGCATTACCTCAAGTAAATTTTGTTTTACATGTGTTCTATAATTAAACTTATATACTAGATATACAGATTTGAGATAATGTAAATGTATTTTTACATCAGGTAATAAACTTTTGAACTAACATGATAAAGATCTACTAGAGTTTACACAATGTAAAAATATTTTTAGAGCACATAAGAAAGAGTTGACATAACGTAATTACCTATCCACTTCACGGAATGAAGTTTTGACATAATGTAATAAAGTGTTGATATAATATGATATGTTATATGTTCTTATATAATAAGATATGTTCATATTATGTTATACACTTTTTACACCACGTAATAATTTAAAGCACTGACATAAAGGTAAGATGTGTTCACCTCATATCATGATGCTCTCGGCGTAAAGTACAGATACATTCGTATCACGTAATAATGCTTTGATATACTAGTATACACTCACAAAAAGGAATGGACTTTGACTTCGCGTAATGATAGGTTATATTTACAGTACTTTCTTTCGTTTGTAAGGAATTTATTGTACAGAGAGGCGTGGCAGTCGAGTCGCGCAGCGACGAGACAGCCACGCCTCTCTGTATAATAAATTCCTTACAAACAAAAGAAAGGGTCTGTAAATGTCTTGTGTCATGGTCATTTGCATAGCCACTCCCTCGACATTAAACTGCACGCGACATTACGTCACGGGCCTATATAGACGGTTCAAACAAATCAGAAAGTACGAAGGAGATGGCTGCATTGGAAAGTCAAGCGATGTTAAAAGAGTGTGCAATTGTATCTGATGGATTAATTTAAGCAGTTTGAATATTTCAAAAAACCATAGGGTACTGGAAACCTGGATCCGTCCGCAAAATGATCCGCTTCACTACTGTTACTACGGAAAAAGTTGCATGTCCGGAGGAAATCCGAATGAAGTACGGTAGCCACTGGTGTCAAAATTATGGAATGCATTGTGAAAAAGTCCGAATGCATACTTGTATATTATACAAACATGTGTCACTGTGCATGTAACTCAAGGTACCCAGGAAACAGGTACTTTTAAGAAAATCATCAAACTGCGCGTGTTTTCAATATTGTCAGATTTAAATTATCTTATTTTCATTTTAATATACGTGTTTTTAGTGAAAACCTGTGTATTGTTTTTATTTCTTTGTTTAAAGCAGTTAACTAGTAACTCAGGAATGGATTCGATTACATTAAAAAGTAATTAATCAAATTACAATTACTTTGACTTTCTCTTCAATTTAATTACAGCTAGGCTTTATGAATCAGGTAATTAATTGCTTTATAATTACTTTACAAAACTGTAATTAATTAATTACAGTCAAGTACATTTACTTTTTTGTTCAATTAAGTACCCCATCCCTGTTACGTATCCATCGAATTCTGTCGGAAGTTATTGTACGGTAAATTGGAAGTTATTGTACGGCTAAGCTCCGCCCCCTAGAAGTTATAGTACGTTGGGATTCAGCCAAAGGTTTTCTATCTGATTTAAAGTATGGCCAACATCAAAAGAAAAAGTACCGCACCATGACACAATGAATGTTGATGACCGCGTTTTCACGACTAAGGGGGGAGGGGGGGTCCTGATTTATTAGGACGAATTACAGGCACATAATATAAGGGGGTCTCTCTTCCTGTTTTTTTCCAGACGTTACTTTACTATAGAATATGTTCATTGAAAGTCAGTTAATATGTACAGTATGTCGATTATATTTGTTGTAATCCCCAACTGCTGTATCATCATTAATCTTTTGTTAGTCGCTACTATCAATTTTGAATTTCTTCTCGTATGTTTTTCTCTTTACGTGTATGCCCTGATGGGCCCCAAATTGGTATTAATAAATGGTATCTTATATTATAATCATTTATTCTAGAAATATTCCTCCTGTAGGAAAAAGGTCGTGCAAACTGACATGGTTTCTGAAAATTTGAAAAATAGGGAAATTGGCATTTTTTGAGATATTTACGGCTAAATAAGAAAAATTGTCCGCGGAAAATTTCCAAATCCTATGTGTGTTTTTATACTTGATAATAAGTAATGTGATATCTTGTACTTATCTATTAGGCGTCGGAACCGGGAGGGGGGGGGGGGGCTACTGGCTAGTAGGTACAAGTTATTGTTCAGGACATACATTTACAATCCTTGATAGAATCAATTGTTGCCCTCCATCGTGCTCAGGGTAACATTTGAAATTGACACCCCAAGGAAAACCATTGTCAACCGACGCGTCAGATAATAGTACAATATTCAATATTCCATTCACAAAAGGTTGACGTGTTTGATATCCAAAAACAAGCAACCCATTTTATGATTCCTCGACAGCAAAATATAGGCTCGGGTCTGGGATTATGGATATTGCAAATCATAGGCTTTTCAAACCCACACGTTTTACTGAAGAAAATACAATTGAAACAATCCTCTTTTCCTTAAAATTCAATATGCCAATAAAAGAATTGACGCGGTTAATATAGATAATATTCCTAATCACAAAAGGGTTCAGTCTTGTATTCCACCATATTTCAAGTTAAAGACTACACTTTGTATTTCCTACAATCGCATTGTATCCTCACAGTACATCGACCATTGCTTCAAAAGTTTTTAAGCACAAAAACATGACCTGGATACCGAGTATCTGAAACATAATTCATCAGTGTGGATTTTGAGTCTGTTGATTTTGTTTTTATTTCATTATGTTTATAAAATTAATTGTTAGTTTTGCATTAACGTGTTTTTTTTTACCCTTTCCGCTGCCCATACTCCATCGTGTTTATGTTCTTCACCCTATACCTATAGTCCCACTGGACACTTTATTACAGGTGACGTAAATATACAATTGAGGACAGATCACTTATTTTAAATTCAATAAGGCTGCATTTCATTTCCGGAATGGTAATTAAAACTTTTCAAACACGACATTTTTTAGTTTAAATTTCCACATATTTTTTTGTTTGCAAAGACTACATTTTTCAAATATACATATGTAGTACCTAAAGTAACAGATTTGATATTTTTAGTTTATGAACAATTTAAAGGAATAAATTATTGTAATTCAATTAATTTTGTAAATCGTTCAGTGACTTGGACATAAGTATGGTGCTGTCACTGACATTTAATTTAGTGCACATTAAATGTTTGTTTTTATTGAACTCTTTTATAGACTTTATAAATGTATACATATGTTAAAGATTTTGTTTTTTTTCTTTTAAATTTTTTTCAATATTTTTGTATAAATACTTTTAAAATTCAATTTTCTTTTACTTAAAAAACATTGAATTGCCGCACAGGTAAATTCACAGAAATGTAAAAAAAAATGGATGTCGGAAATGAATAACAAAAAATATCGGAAATGAAATAAAAAAATGATCGGAAATGACACTATGCATAAAAAAAAAATGAAATGCAGCGGGTCCTAAATAGGGCTGTATCAATATATCAATATATCGATACGTATCGATATTCAAGAAAAATATCGTATCGAAAAATAACTTCCAATACGTATCGGACAAGTAGTTTTTTTCTTCTAATTCTGTTAAAAAGATGGGAATTTCAATCACCAATGTTCCCGTTTTGCACACATTTGATTACAGGTAATTAAAAAATGTGTGCAAAACGGGAATTTGACCAGGTGAGATAATTACTTAATTGCTATAGTCTATACCATACTTAGTAAGTAGGTAAAAGGTGAAATTATAGTGAAAAAATAAGAGAATAAATACAAAATTATTTACAATTTACTAACATTGAAATACACAATATTATAATAATTAAAAATTTACCAGCTTAATTGGATAAA